TTTGCCAGCTGAAACAAGTTACAAGTCAGTCTATCGTGATTTTATTGCAGGTCTTGAAAACGATAGCACATTGAAATACGACGCGTTTCGCAAGTTATGACACCAACCAACGCTTATATTCAAATTAAGAGTCCACGAACGGATTTATGCGATACTTGTCAACATTTTCAGAATGGCTTACAGTATCCGGTGAAAAAAGTTCTAACCGGGTTACTCACTCGTGTGATCCGGTTAAACCGGTCAATACCGTGGCGCAGCATGTTTGACCGGTTTATCCGATTAACCCGGGTCAACCGTATACTATAAAAAAATTAATCTCTAAGAACAGAAGCATCTGTTATGTTTTATTGACACTACTATTATACTATCATAATCACTGTTGTTTGCCATATTAAAGGCACACTTAGTTTTTACATAACATTTGCAAATTAATACTTTATCAATATTGTTAAAAAAGCTTTGCTATTTATAAATAAATAAACATAAAACCTATTTATTAATCTCAATATTATATTTCAAAACCAACAATTAAACTCAAATCAAAGTAACTTCTACTTTTTTTTGGTGTTTTGATTAATTTATTCATCTCAATTAAGACTAATTTATGAAGTTATTTTAATAAAATTACTATTTCTTTTTAAAAATAATATTTAAGAAATAAGAAAAGAAGCTAAATATATTTTTTTTACTATAGTATTATTTGTATCAAAAAATAAATGCTTACTGAAAACAAAAATAGCAGATATTGATAAATACTTACATATTAATTGATTCAAAAATAAAAATTCTCTTTTATGATCTTTTATCAAATCAAAAGATTAATATTATATATAATAATTGATATTTTTAAATATTAATTTAGATTTATTTATATTATAATATTTCTTATTATTCTTAAAAATATTATTCAGATAATAGTTTTTTAATTATATATTATGTTATTATATCATATTGAAAGATTAAATAGTTATAATTAATATATTTAATTTAGTTTAATATATTTGAATTATTTTTTCTTGAATATATTATTACTGTAATAATATAAATTTCTTTAATTTCATAATTTTTCAAACTTAGAATTTTCAATCAATTAGTAGATCTTTAGAAGATATGTGATTTTAAATGATATAATTGATATATTAGTTATGAATTCAATTATGATTCAATAATATTTTTATAATATTTTTGCAATATTTCAAAATCATGAATAAATAATTAATTTCAAAGTTAATAACAGCTCACAAATAATTTAATAACAATTCAGAAATGCTTTAGAAATAGTTTAGTGATAAATTTAATTTATTTTTATTATTATCTTTTTCTTTTTAGAATATTTATCTTATCTTTTCATTTTATTTTATCATTTATATTATTTTATAACTTACTATATGTATCTTATCTCTTTATTTTACTTGTTCATTTATTGATTCTTTATTCCAAAGTTTGTAATTATAATTTAGAGTAGTAAATAAGTTTAGATAAAAACTTGTAAAATCTCAAAGATATATAAATATCTCTACTCTCAGATGTAAAATAAATATACTTGAATAGTAATAATTCAATTATTTTTGAAAATGCTTGAGTTATACTTATCTTGTAATTTTTCTTGATTTTTGTCTTAATATCTTGCTTTCATTTATCTCTTCTATCATAATAGGTTATATTCTGATTATTTATATATTTTTCTTATCTGAAAAATATAGATAGTGAATATTCTCTACTTAAAATAAGTCAAGTATATTTTATTTGATTTAGAAGATTCTTGTAAGCTTTTCTATATATAAAAACTTTATTTTGTTTTGGTATATACTCTTTATTTGTCTAACAGTTAAAAAAATATTATTAAAGAGTTTAATTAGCATACTAAATTTTTATTTTAGGTATAATATTTATTACTTTAGTTTTTGGTATCTACTCTTAGTTTAATTTTTATAATCATAACTTTGTTATATTTTATTTCATTTTTATCTTGTATTGATATAATACTTGTAAGTATTAGTACTAGAAAATCTTTAGAATAATTATTATCTTCTTAATCTTTATAAATAATTTAGTTTTTACTCTTAAAACTTATTATAAACTATATTCATGATAAGACCTATCTTCCAGAGTATAATTTATAATATTTAATGCTCTCTCTGTAAATCTTAATTTTCAGAGATCTATTTTAACTTATTTTTATTATTTTTATTTATTATTTATTTTATCATTTTAAGGATTAGCTACTCTTGAAGTATTTGTTACCTATTTAATTAATTAGTTTATAAGTACATATTACTCATTTATTAGACTCCTAATTGATCTATATTTTGATGAATACAACTTAAAAAATTCTTGAGAATTCTCATCTCATATTAAATCTTGCAATTACTATTCTTATTATTTTCTTGTAAATGAAAATTCAGATAAAAGATTTATAAATTTTCTTATCTGAACTTAAGATTATTATATGATTTCTCATAATAAACTTTCACAAAAATTATTTAATAATATTATATAGCAAAATCTTATATCAAATTAACTTTGAAAAGAAATTATTAAACTACTTAACACATTTATATTTGATATTAAAATCATAGTTAAATAACAGATCTATCTAATTAATAATATTTTTCTTATTCTTGAAAAGACAGATAATTTTGAAATCTCATCTATCAATTAACTAACTGAATCAGAATATAAAAGTAATAATTTAGAAGATTCAGAAGAATCAATAGTCATAATTAAAGAAATTAAATCTCAAAACTTCTAATCAAAAGAAGAAATATTCATAACAGAAGAAATAGAAAATCTTATTCAAGCTCTTATAAAACTTACCTAATTTATAAAGATTTAAAAGATAGAGAAAATTCTTATTCTAATTCATAAATTTAAGAATAATGATTAGGATCCTATTGAATAATTACATAATTTTGAAGTAGCTATCAAAGTTAATAGAATTACCAATAAAAGAAAGATTGAAATAGTAAGAGAATATCTAGAGAAACCAGTTGTGTAATAAATTAGAATAATTATATTAGATTTATATTTTATTTTGCAGATTATTACTATATCATATATTACATTATACATGACTTACTGCATCATAATCATCTGATTATGTCAAGAAAAGTCACATGATATATTTAAGTTATTTTAGCTATAGATAGTTTTCTTAGTAGAATTTCTCTTTTCTCTTGTTCTACTAATTTAGCTAGTATATTACTAAATTTATATATTTCATTTATAATCATTTATTTCTTTATTTATTCATTAATAAGTATCTTTCAGAGGTATTATCATATAAGTATTATCTATTATTAATTTATTTATTTTATTATTAATTTTATGTAATATTAATTTATTATTTAAAGATACTATATCTGTTCTATAATTTTAAGTATCAATAATATTGAATAAAGAATAAGTTTGAATATAATTTCTTGTTTACTTTTGATTTAGTTTTCTGTATGAATTTTATCTCAAATATAACATTATATTCTAACTTTTTTGTGTGAATTATTTGAATATATTATATTACATAATTAGAAGATTACAACTTTGATAGTAGCAGAAAAGATTAATATTATACATACACATACATAATATACACACCTATTAATAATTTCTTTCTTCTTATATACTTTCTTACTTATATTTCACATACACTCATATATATATATATCTATATTCATAATATTTAATCCTGATCTCTCAAGTAAATAATTTTAATAACTTTTCATTAGTCTTACTAATCTTGTCCAACAATAGTAATAACTTACTACTACTCTTAGTAATAATTATGATACTGATGATAATGGATAACTAAATCATAACTCTCCTGTATCAAGAATTCCTCTCAAGATTCCAACCTACAAAGAAGAATTATATGAGAATATTAATATCTGAATTTTACAAGTAACTAAAGTATTATATGCATAAGGAATTACAGATGAATAAACTTGCATCCTATATGCTGAAATTGATCTTGAAGATGCCACTCTTCATTGATATTTGAATAAAGTATGCATTACTAGAGAAAATTCTGCTTTTAAAAATTGGAAATCTTTTCTTACTGAAGTTTGTAAAGCATTCTAATTATCTAACTATCAATAACATCTTTATTATTAACTTTATCAACTTTGTTAAACTAGTACTGTACAGAAATATAATACTAAATTCAGAAATATCATAGGATAAATTAAAAAAATGAGAGAATTAGATCAAGTCACACATTTTATCAATGATCTCAAACCTGTAACTAAAATAAAAGTAGTATATCAAGTACCAGAAACTTTTGATGATGCCTGAAAACTTGCAATTTATTATAATACAGCTATATTTGATATTGAGCATCCTCTTAAAAGTGGTAATTATAATCATAATTAAAAATATAAGAAAAATTAGAACTTTTTTTCTAATAATATACATAATAATACTGATCTCACACTCATAGAACTAGATTATGCTGAAAATTCTTATCAATATAGTAATAATAATAGTAATAATAATAATACTTGTGATAAAAATAATAATAATCATAATTATTATAACTGTGGCAAACCAGATTATTTTATCAAGGATTATTATTCTAAAGAAAAAGTCAAAGTTAATAATATCAAGAATAATAATAATACTATAATTACTATATAACATAATAATAATATTAAATTTGCTTATTTTAAGAATAATCATGAAAAACTTTTAAAATTTAATAGCTATATTAATAAAAAGTTTGTCTAAATTTTGCTTGATAATGAAGTATCACAAAATTTTATTGATAAAGTATATGTTAAAAATAATTGATTACAAACTCATACCATAAATCTTATTATTATAAAACTCACTGATGGTTGTAAAAAAAAAGTTAATTCATCTATAGCAATTAAAGAATTAAAACTAGATACATATCATATCTCTAATATCAATGCTCAAGTCCTTAATATTCAATGCTATAATCTTATACTTGGTAAACTATAGCTTTATCATGCTAATTTCATTATTAACTGGTATAATAATTCTATGATATTTCACTATGGCAATAAAGTAATCAAGATCAATACTAGTAAAGATAAACTTGTACCTAGTTATAATTCACTTTATATATCTCAATAATAATTTGCTAAACTTCCATCTAATGCTGAATTATTTGCAATCTATGCTGCTATAAAAGAAATATATCAAGAAGTAACAACTTCTTGTGAAGCTATTCAACTAGTTAAAGAATTTGTTGATGTATTTCTTACTTCACTTCCTAATGAGTTACTATCAAAATATATTATAGATC